CCCTTTTGCTCTGCTGATTTTGGAGGTAGGGTCTTGCTTTTCTCCCAGGCTGGCCAGGACAGTGGCCCTCCTATTTTACACCTCCTTCTACAGCTGGGATGACAGGTGTGTGCCATGACACCCAAATCTTTTCATTGAGACAGGGCCTCACAAACTTTTTTTCCTGGCCTGACCTAGAACTGCAATCCTCCTAGTCTTAGCCTCCCAAGTAGTTTGGAATGACAGGTGTGTACAATCATGCTCAGCTATTGGTTGAGATGGAGTTTTGCAAACTTTTTCCCAGGCTGGCCTTGAACCATTATCCTTCAAATCTCAGTCTCCCAAGTAGCTAGAATTGTAGATGTGGGCCACTGGCACCCAGCTTTTACTAAATCTCTTATAGCCCATTTTCTCACCTGCTCATGGAAGATAACAACACTACCTATATGGCAAGACCTCTTGACAGGTCTAATGAGTTTACATAAGGAAGCTAATAATTTTGTACAGTACATTCCTTATTCCTTTTCTTTATGTCAGTCATACATGCACACATATAGCATTATATGTTTAAAATCTGATCTATCTAGATTTAAATATGACATGAAAAGGATAATAATTTGCTACCTTTAGGAACTAGGTCAAATCACAATTTTTACAGCAATAGTTAAAAAGTCTAGCAAATGTACTCTTAATAGAACATTCTCAAAGAATAATTCTCCTAATTAAATATCCTCCATGTTAGATTTTAGATGAATATGGCTATGACTCATTGATTCTGTCTGAAATTGTCATTATGACAGGAGGACCTACACATATCCTCCTGAAGTGTACTAAATGCTTGATTCTCATCAATCTGTGTTATGTCTAATATGCTTTATTACACTATTTTCTTGCCTTCCTGTAGCAATACACAAGAAAATATTTCAAATTTTTTTCATAGAAAAGTAAGAAGTATATTCATGAGATGGAGAAATTCTAATTCCCTTTATATTTGAGGTTAGAATTTCTTTTATGGGCACCTTATATTTTTTAAATATTCCTTGTAAGATCACTGGGATAACCCAATGTTTCTGATATGAATGTTCTAAAGTGGGGCAATTTTACTTTTCTTGAAACAAAGAGTGGGGACCTAGGTTGAGGAAGGAAGCAAGACACTTGGTAAAATGTTTGTCTTCAGTAATGTGTGTGTGTGTGTGTGTGTGTGTGCGTGTGTGTGTGTGTGTGTGTGGTGCTGGGGATCTGACTCAGGGACTCATGCATGCTAAACACAGAACATATTCTTTGATGCTACATCCTCAGGCTGAGCAAAAATAATAGATGCCTTTTTGTTAGAAGCTATTACAGAATCTGGGTTTAAAATTTAAACTGATATAAGGAAAAAGAGGAAAAGCATGAATTAGCACAGAACTTAGAGTTGAAAGATTTGCAAGATCCAAGACAGAAATCAGGAGGATCATCGTTTGAGATCAGGTTGGGCAGAAAGTTAGACATACATTTCAACCAAGAAAGTGATCTTGTGGCACACACCTGCCATAGCTGCTATGCAGGAGGCATTAATCGGAGGCTCACAGTCCAAGCCAGCCCAGGGAGAAACATGAGACTCTATGCAAAACTAAATAAACTGAATTGAATGGTGGCATGGCTCAAGTGGTAGAACAATAGCCCTGAGTCCAAACACCAGCATTCAGAAAAGTACTAAGAAAAAAAAAGAAAGACATGGGCAAGATGAAGTAAATAAGACCTTAAGAATTTTTAGTGACTAAGTTGATTAAGCTTATTTGCTTTTAAGGGGAAAGAAATTGTTTCTCTCTGGTTTAGTAATTCCTATGGAGTCACATTTCCTACAAATAACAGGAAACATTAACATGTAAAGAAAAACCTCGAACTATGTGAAGGGTTTAAAGAGTTAACAAAAGAAAGTAGACACAAGACTAGAGAAAATTCTGAGAAGAGGTGAAAGACACTGAGTGATATTCTTATTTTCTTTTTAGACTGCGGTAGGTACTTGTTGGTCCATGCAGACTTTCTTAGATCCAGAAAGACAACTGGATTCTATCTAGCATGATGAAGCAAAGTTAAGGGTAAACTCTATAGCAGGAAAGTAAAGGAAGAATATCCTGAACATAGAAAGGGAGCCCTACGTCGTGTGTCCAGTCTCTGCTCAAGTACCCATCTCAGTCTGTGGATCTGCTGGATAGATTGTAAGTAGCCCAATTAAGGACAAAAAAACTGAGTTTGGATTTCAGAGTTAAGAACAAGGCAATCATTGTGACATCAACACTAAGATGATCCAGATTTGGATCTAGCAGATATGGATTTTAAGCAGCCATTAAAACTACACACAAAACCATTGAGAAAAATATAAGGGACATCTGACATGTGCTTATGTTTATACCATCTATTTTTCACATAAAATAATGTTATTTATTGAAGTATCAATGACAGAAAATAGATTAGTTCTATGCTCCTTAAGCACTGCTAAATTCAAATTTGCTCTGCAAGACATTCATTCATAATAAACTATTATCTGTTATTTAAGTTATTATTATTTAAAGTATTTTAAAAGTACTTGCTAGGTGCCATAAAGACAATGAAAAGAGATGTAGAAGTTGCTTTAAATATGAGCTATACTATGTGGTAAACAGTGATGTATTTCATAAGACAACTCATACTTCTACACTGAAGTCCCAGTGATTGAAAGTTTAATTTTCATGTTTGGGGAGAAGAGACTATAAGGGAAACTTTAAGAAATGACAGGTAGATGGACCTTAACTATGCAGGCATGATGGAGCAGGAGATCATCCATGTGCACAGAGTGAAGAAAGGTCTGAAAATAATAACACAACATAGTTACTTTTGTAGGGTATGAATAAGGATGATAATGGTAGGAGATATCATAAGAGTAGATAAATCCAGATTGGTGGAAAAATATGTTAGACATCATTCTGAAACATCAGAGGGCAACCAAAAGACAAAATATACAAGCTTAATGCTATTTCCTTTGAAAACTACAAATCCAGAACAGATTTCTATAATTTATCTTGATTCCTACAATTATCTAGTAAAAAAAAAAAAAAGCAAATTGAGCAGCTCTTATACTATCAATGCAGAAACTTTTAGCCCATTTTTTTTGGTGGCATTGGAGTTTGAACTCAGAGCCTCACACTTGTTTCATAGGAACTCTACCAACCCAAAATTTCTTAAGTTTTTGATTACATATTTCAATGCACTATTAGAAAGAATCCACCCCTCTCATTTTTCGAGTGGTGGTGCATGAGGGAGCAAATTTAATTTCATCAAAAAACATAAAAATAAATTAGAACATATAAAATACAAATTAAAGTTAAATTATATGTTGCTACATTTGCAACCAAATAAATACTTCTTTCCTAAGGTCCTTTCCATGTTCTTTTCTGATATGGAAATTCAGGAGTTCTGTTTTCAGTTTATGGTTAGGTAGCTAAATAATTATGCAGAAATTTTTAAATATTGATAAGGAAGGCAAAGCATGACAAAATATCTTAAGGCATGCTGCTAAGTAAAAAATAAATTGTTTGTAAGTAATTTGTTTTTATAATATTTCAGTTGCTTAGAGTCTAGAAGTATACTCTGGGAGCACTTTGGATTTTGGAAAAATCAGAAAATAATATCACCAGGGTATTTCAGAATAGGAAGGGCAATGGGGTTTTGTCTTTGAATTCATAATGCTTATTTCATTTTCATGTTACTCATTCCTTACAATTAACAACAGCAGAGAAAGAAACAAAATGCGATCATGTTCACATTTTATTGCATACTAATGAATTATTACATAAAACTTGTTTAACTTAAAAAATCATCCATTTTCCTTCTACATTTATTCTGTGGCATGAAATGGTGCCTACATTCCTCTCCTATGATAATCTTCATGAATATTCACAAAAATATTCCTTATGTTCTATAATTTCACACAGTACATTTTATTTAGAATGTTTCTTTCAATAGTCTTTGCAAAATTCTATGAAAACAAGAGTTCTTTCTCCAGATGTACTCAAAGATAAAGTTGTCCATGAAATTATCCCAGTACTTATTATAAATGGGAAAGAAAAAGCTAACTTTACCTCCAAAGGAAAAATTAACCCAATGAATATGGTATTGATATTTAATTTCCTCTTATTTGCTGTTTTTCCAATATTAGTATATTTTAAAGTTCACTGTTCAATCAAGAGTAGAAAGGCTGATAAAATTTAATATATTTCTATACACTGTTGGTCACATTGTGATAATAAAATTCTAGTAGCACAGTCATCCTACAAACAATGTATTCACTTTTGGTGCATTTTGTTTTGATTCGGTTTTCCTGATTGGCATTTTTTGTTCTACAACTCTGAAGTTTTTGCAACTATTCTTGGCATGTCTCTAATATTTTGATAAAATTATTATGGAATTTTATCAAATTTAAGTTTCCTAAATCATGTAGATTCTCTGACAGCCAAGCTCAAACATATTGTCTCCCTCTCATGAATTCTCTTTTCAAATTCTATTTAGCCTAAATCAACCAAGATTCTTTTTACTATAAACACATGCAACAAAGGAGGATTGATAAATTAGAAACCACTCCAATTCATGATCAATATAAAGAAATATCATATAGGCATCCTGAACATCATTATATTAATTTGTTACTCATTCTTGCTACTTTAAATTTTAAAACTTATTTTAAATTTTCTGAAGAACAGAACTTCTAAAACAATATTCAGTAGTGCATGTCTAATCTTCTGCTATTCAGTTCTGACATAAAATTTAAGGATTACATGAATAACAGAAAATGTTGGCAAAACAATTGTTTCCTTATCCACACCAATGATTAAATACACACAGCTTGCTGACATGTCTATCTTTTATTCCCTTTACACTGGTTGAGAATGTCTTCTGACATCTATGGTTTTGAAATTATGGGCAGAAACACAGACATTACCAGTCCACCAGCTTTCATTTCTCGGCTGAAGAAACAAACACATTCTCAACCCCCTCAACCTTCCTCCCCCCGTACCCTGGGTACAACTAATCCTTAAATCAGGGTGGGATCTGTGGCCCTTTCTGGTTTACGTCTGTGGATTAGAACAATTTGTAGTGGGTGTATAGCTGCTTCCCAAGTGCTCGCGTTTGCTGAATGAAAACCGGAGTCCAGGAGCTCATCTTCTGAAGGACAAAAGCGCTTGGCAGCAGAGCCTCAACTTACTCATTAGCATCTCCCTGAAGTGGTCTCCCATGAGGAAGTAGAAGACAGGGTTGATGGCGCTATTGAGAAAGGCCAAAGGCCGTGTAACGATGTACAGGGCGTTGATGACCACCTGGGTGCACCGATGCTGCGACCCGCTGTCCAGGCGCGAGGCGATGCGCACGTTGCGTAGCACGTGGTAAGGTGTGAAGAGCACTGAGAAGATGACCACCGCTAGGATGACCAGGAGTAGAGGCTTCTCGAGGGGCAGGGCCGTGGTCAGCTGCCGGCTCCTCTGCTTTAGGAAGACTGCAGTCTTGTAATAGAAGAAGCACATCACAGAGAGAGGAATAAGGAACCCCGACACAGTTAGAAACACGCTGTAAATGAGGTTGTACTTAGGGTCTCCGGAACTGGCATAATCATTACAGCTGGTGCCGGTCTCAGAGGTCACAGCATTTATAATAGGAAGCATGGGTAGTAGCTCTAAGGTAACTAAAACCCAAATGGCCAAAGAGATGAAAATAGCAAACTCTTTCTTTTGCAGCAGGTGATCCCGGAAAGGATACTTCATGAGCATGTACCTGTCGATGCTGATAAAGGTGAGGAAAAGGACACTGACATAAAGGTTGGCGTGCAGCACATAGCGGTTGCTTATGCAGAGCACATCTCCATATATCCAGTTTTCACTGGCATAACTTCTCATCAGCATAGGAAGAGTGCACAAAAAAGATAAGTCGGAAATAGAGAGGTTAAAGAGATAGATGTTACTGCTATTCCAGTTCTTCAGACAGAAGAGGTAGCCAAAAACCACAATGGTATTTCCAAGGATTCCCAAAATGAACTCGATCCCATAAAAAATGGGAAGGTAGTACTTTTCCAATGCAGCCTCTGCTGCCAGCCAGTTTTGGCAAGTTGAATTCCATGCCTAAAAGAGACAGAAAATGTAAGTATGAAGCACTTGAGTATAACTAAGAACAAAACTACAGAGGATAGTAATTTTAAAAATACAGCCTGGCATGCTGGCAGCGCCTGTCATTCTAGCCACTCCTCCAGGAAGAGATAGGAGGATTGCAGTCCAAAGTCCACCAGGCAAAAGGCCCAACCAGATCTGAAAAATAACTAAAGCAAGGAGGGCTGGGATGCTTGCCTAGCAAAAGCATGACCCTATGTTCAAAATCTCAGTACCGCCAAAAATAAAAATTACACTTGACAGGTGAGCTATGGAAAGTAGTTTTAGTAAGAAACACATGCATATACACACACATAAAGATATCAGTATATATATACGGTGATGTATTTTCAACAAGGAAACACTTGAGTAGTTACTGAGTACTTTTGAATTGTATATCAGACACTGGGGAGAATAATGGTGAGTGAAACAAGGTTCTTAATTTCAATATATACTTTCTTGGAAAGAACCAGGAAATAAATAAGTGATACCATGATAGAAGGTGTGAATAAAAATGAGGAAGGGTAAAAATACTGAAGTTTTTGGGAGGAGGAAGGGTAAAAATACTGAAGTTTTTGGGAGGAGGTTTTTGTTTTTCTAGGAGACAACACTTAAATAGAAGCTTCATTAAAGAGAGAGAAAGAGCCATTTCTATACCTGGAAGAACTTTCCAGACACAGGAAAAGCAGGTGCAAAGGTCCCAAGGAAGAAACACACACAGGGCTTGACAAACAGCCAAGAGGTCAAGGGAAAGTGTAGTAAAGTAAGTGAAGGGGAGTCTAGTTCGCTTTTGTGGCTCCAGAACCTGAATTAAACTGAACTAAACTGAATTGAGAGAAGAAATAGGGACTGTTAGAATTCCAGTTTTGCTATTTAAGTAGCTTTTACTTGTTTCCATATTTTCAAAGCATTTTGTTTATTTTATTAAATTTAGAGAAAACAATTTCAGTTTTAAAATATAATAATTTAAAATTTAAAACATGAAGCTGAAAATCTTAGTAATAGTAACAGGGTCCATTACCTACTGAAGGCCAATAGGTACCAGTTTCCGGTGTCTCAGAGAATGCTCATAATTACATAATGAAGCAGGGACTGTTGCTATTTTCATCTGACACATGATCTCACTATGCTTGGGAAATGAAATACCTTGCCATTTTATTTTGTTCATGCTGATTGATAATGTATCTTACATGGGTAATTTATAAATAATAGATATGTTTTTCTCATAGTTCTGTGGGCTGGAAAGTCCAAGATCAGCATCTAGAGAAGGGTCACCCTGCCTCATCCTCACAGCAATCTGGCTCCCTTCAATATACTTAGTAAGGATCCATTCATGACTTAGTTACCTCCCCAAAGCCTCCATTTCTTAATACTACTAAGATCCAACATATTAATTTTGAGGGACACCAATATTCAGACCATACCAGTTGTTGAGGTCATATTCCTAGTAAAAAGAGCTTCATGGTTGAAGAAAGAAATTGATGAAGACTACAGAAGATGGAAAGATCTCTCATGCTCATGGATTGGAAGAATCAATATTGTGAAAATGACTATACTACCAAAATCCATCTACATGTTCAGCTCAATTCCCATCAAAATCCCAATGACATTCATTAAAGAGACTGAAAAATCAACCCTAAAGTTCATTTGGAAACACAAAAGACTGCAAATAGCCAAAACAATACTGAACAAAAAGAGCAGTGCTGGAGGTATCACAATACCTGACCTCAAACTATACTACAGAGCCATAGCAATAAAAACAGCATGGAACTGGCACAAAAAGAGACACATGAAGACCAGTGGAACAGAAGACCCAGATATGAATCCTGCAGTTATACCCACCTGATTTTGACAAGGGCACCCAAAGCATACTATGGAGAAAAGACAGTCTCTTCAACAAATTTTGCTGGGAAAACTGGATATCTGCATGCAGAAAACTGAAACTAGATCCATGTCTTCTACTCTGTGCAATGCGTATCAACTCAAAGTAGACTAAGGACCTTAATATAAGACCTGAAAATTTGAAGTTAGTACAGGAAAGAGCAGGGAATACACTGGAATAGGCATAGGCAATGACTACCTAAATAGAACTGAAATGGCTCAAAACTAAGAGAAAGGATTGACAAATGGGACTACATGAAATTAAAAAGCTTCTGCACAAAAGAAATGGTCATCAAACCACAGAATGGAAGAATATCTTTGCTAGTTATACATCAGACAAGGGACTGAAAACCAGAATATACAGGGAGCTCAAAAGATTAAACTCAAAACATTAATGACCCAGTGAAGAAATGGGCAAATGAACTGAATAGAGTTTTTTCAAAGGAAGAAATCCAAATGACCAAAAACACAAGAAGTAATGCTCAACATCCCCGGACATAAAGGAAATGCAAATCAAAACCACTCTAAGATTCTACCTCACTCCTGTTAGAATGGCTACCATGAAGAACACAAGTGACAACATATGTTGGCAAAGAAAAAGGACCCCTCATACACTGTTGGTCGGGAAATGTAAATTAGTGTAACCACTATGGAAAACAGTAGGGAGGCTCCTTAAAAATCTAAAAATAGAGCTGTGGTATGATTCAGCAATCCCACTCCTAGGGATATACTTGAAGGAATGTGAGTCACATTACAATAAAGGCACTTGCACACCCATGTTTATTACAGCACTATTCATAATAGCTAAGCTATGGAAATAGCCAAGATGCCCAACAACTGATGAATGGATTAAGAAAGTGTGATATTTATATTTAATGTAATTTTATTCAGTCATGAAGAAGAATGAAAGTTTGTTCTTTGCAGGAAAATGGATGGAATAGGAGAACATCATCTTAAGTGAAGTTAGCCAGGTTCAGAAGCCCAAAGCCTTCATATATGGAATATAGACCCAATACAAATATTATGAAAAATAGGTCATGCTTAGGGGGAAGTCAGTAACAGGAGAGGGAGGGTAAAAAAAGCAAGTTCAGAAGGTGAATATGGTTGATGTAATTCCTATACAAGAATGAATAAAGAATTTTTTTGTGCTACTGGGGCTTCAACTCAGGGTCTTTAGTGCAATATTTTGTGATAGGGTTTTTCAAGATAGGGTCTTGCTGTTTGCCAGGCTGGCTTCAAACTGTGATCCTCCTGATTTCTGCCTCTTGAGTAGCCAGGATTACAGGCATGAACCACCAGCACCCTCTGACTATAAAATTTTTAAACCGGTTGAAATCACCATAAGAAGGGGCTAAGGTAGAAAAGAAAATAATAGAGGGGATGAACCAATTTGGTTTATAATACATAGATACATGGAAAAGCCACAATGTAACACCCTGTAACGGTATCTTAAACAAATAAAAATGTCATTTTTTTTTTTTTTACTAAAATAGAGAACAGGAAGGTAAAATAGATCCTGTCTGGAGGGGGTTAGTACAGGTTGGGGGGAGGAATAAGGAAAGGGTGTAGGAGGGCGAAAATTGTGGAAATATTATGTCGACATATATGTAAATGGAAAAAATGAGATATATTGAAACTATTACAGGAATGGGGAGATAAAGAGAATGATGGAGGGAGTGAATTCATCTATGATATATTGTAAGAACTTTTGTAATGTCATAAGGTACCTCCAGTACAATAATAATAATTTTAAAAAGCATGATGGTAATACCTTCTGATATAATACCTTCCAATTTCAAATGTTTGGCTAACTTGTCATTTTCTCTCTTCATTTTCTTGTAATGATGCTGTGACTCTATGGTTAGATAAGGTATTTCATGTACTTATATTATCAGAAAAATATGCTTGGTTGCCATAATTAAATAAATATTCAATATTACTTATTGAATAGTGAGGAAAGCAAAGTTGAAAATAAAATTTTCTAAAATTCTCCTTGTCAAATAAGCTTCTGAGTATTAGTCACAATCCAATAATTATTTCAATATAGTATTTTGTTAGGAGAACAAAATAAGAACAAATGTACCACCACTGCTTTTACCAGGAAATGTGCAAACACTCAGCAGTATTTTCTGTGATGAAGGCATCTGGAAAACTCATCTCTTATTTTTTTCAAATTCTAGGGGTCTGTTTCAGTTAAAGATTGCTGATATTCTAACAGTGTTTGATTTGTGAAAATAAGTCATGAAATTCTAGATAAGTTAAATATTTTGTTATTTTAAAACATCCTAACTTCTTCTGAGCTACTAAGTCTCTGCAGTGTTATTTGCCACGAAAGCCAACCCTACACACGAGTGGCACAGGAATGCCACTGAGGAACTGTAAAAGGGGCCTTCGCTCCATCTTGTAACTTAACATATACTTCTGCTCTTCCACATTGCCAGCAATCTTTTACATTTCTTAATTTTATATTTTTCCAAATGCCTTCAAACTTCTTCCACTTACCCTATCCTACTGACCTTCACAAATCAGCAGAAGATGGCTGTGCCTGCTGGCTCACCAAGATAGAGACCACTCATTGGGTTTACTCCATATTCCATTCATTCTCAAGTTCTAAGATTCCTATGTTATTCATATTATCCTTGTTTTTGCCTTTCTCTTCTGAATTCTTTCCTATCTCAACTGCATCTTTTCCATCAGCATTTAAACACACTCATCAGTCTTAAAAATAAATAGCAACTCTCCCTGACTTTGCATGTTCCTCCCCTCTGTATAGCTTGATTTCTGAAACAAGCTGTGTCAGTAAGAATTTTGACATACTGACATCATTTTCTTTCTAGCCTTCTCCAAGTTTAGCTTCTGAGCCGAGCCACTACTCCACCAAAACAGACTCTAGAGTGCCCAATCTCATGGTCATTTTCATTAATCTTTTTGTTTGACTTCTCATCTGCTTTTCATACCATGACTTCTGGAAATGCACTTCCTTTACCTTCTGTGACATAACAATACCCAATTTTCTTTCTTTCTCCCTGGCTGTTCTTTGTAGGCTCTTTTGTGGGTCAAGTGTGAATGTTGAGTTCCTTAGATTCGCTTCTCTGTATTCAGGCTCTTTTCTTTATATTCTTCCTAAATAATCTCATTCACTTCTGAGCTTCAATAGCCACTCATACACCAGCAACTTCCGGGTTAACAATCCAGCCCAGAACTGTCTTATAAGCTCTAGTTGTTTATACTTATTACATTGATTGATTTCTCATATGCATCTCTGAATTTAGAAATCCTATACTAAACTCTCCAATTTTCTTACCATTCCTGCAGAATATCACCTACCTCAGTAAAATGGCTCCACCATCTGTCCAGGTGCTCACCACAGAAATCTAAGCAACATCCTCAAAGTCATTTATAAATTAACTCCAATAACAAACTACCAAGTCTTGTTGACTAAAATTTCTGGATATTTTTCAAATTCATCACTATTGTACCATATCTTTATTACTATTCTACTCCAGGCCATCATCATCTTTACCTTGGATTATGTGGTATACTTTTACTGTCTCCTCACATATTTCTCTGACTCCCACTCAGTTCTTCTTTGTCATAGTAACCAAACAATCTTGACAATCAATAGCCCTAAGTCTAACCATATCACTCTTCTTGATCAAAACCTTCACAAGGAATAAACTCCAAATACTTAATGGCTACCAACCTGTGTATGACATGTGTTCCATATTTCACTTAAACCTCTCTTAACATTACTCTCCTCCTTGTTCATCTTTCTTTCTTCCTGTCCTTTGAATATATAAAGAACAGTCCCAGTGTCTAGTTCTCTCTGTCTGAATCTCTTCACTGGCATTTTTTTTCTCTTAAGATGTCTGCTCATTACATACTTTATCTTATATCTACATTTCCTTCTGGCCTCAGTTCAAGTGTGCATTTCCCCAAATCAGCTCTCTGACCCATCAGTCTAAAGTGGTTCCTCCTAGTTTATGCTTTCATTATATATTGAACATTTTCTTAGTATTTTTCACATATTTGTTTAGCTCATTAAACAATGTTTATCTTCTACATCAGGCATAGTGGCTAGCAGTTAGCAGATGATCTGAAAGTACTTTTTGAGAGAAGAGATTACTATAAACATCTGTCTATTTACAAAGTAGTTTTATAAATATTTCCATCAAGGTCAGATAAGTAGTAAGTCTCCCAAATGAGCCCATTGCTCTATTTCACTATAAACTCTGATACTATATACCATATGAAAAATATTAAAAATTGGCAATTAAATAGTGATAGCTGTGCTTTAGAAACACATTTTCATAAAGTAAAATTTAATATAATTAGGATAAATTTTAAAAATGGAGTCACTGAATTAATAATTTATATCCTTGATGGTTAACTCCTGTAATCCAAGGTACTTGGGAATTTGAGATTGGGAGGATTATAGTTCCAGGTGAGCCTGGGTTAAAAAGTCTATGAGACCCCATCTCAACAAAAAAAGCTGGGCATAGTGGCACATGTCCATCATCCCAGTGACAGTAAGAAGAATAAAATAGGAGGATTGTGTTCCAGGCTAATCTGGGCAAAAGTAGACCACTAACTCTCAAATAACCAGGGCAAAAAATAGCTGGAGGAGTGGCTCAAGAGGTAGAGTGTCTGCCTAAGAAGCACAAAGCCTTCTGTTCAAATCCCAAAAGAATATATACCTGAAGTTAGTAAACATACAAAAGTTGAAAAGATATTACCAAATACTAATAGCTCTATCCTCAGCATGAGATCTAGGTAATTTTTATTGTGTCCTTTCTCTTTTTTGTGTATTTAGACTTTCTATTTTTGTTTGTTTTACTAAAGGAAGCATACATTTCATAGCAATAAAAGTTTTAAATACCTAGAAATATAACAAAGAGGTAAATGAACTTTTTCAAGCTACTATACCTTATTCTTTAGATCAGTGGCCTTTTCTCACTATACTTGACTCTATTTGCTGCACCTTTCAAATCCATACCTTCTGGAATCTCTCCTGCTTGCCATCTATTGTGTGCCAGCCTCTGCATATCCCTCTTTCTCTTTTTCCAGACTCTTGTAGCTAATCCTTCTTCACCTAAGCTTTAAACATTGGAGTTACTCAAGACTCAGTTCTGGATCCCTTTATCTTATGGGAAGTACTGCAAAAGTTGGCCACACACTCAAACGAAAACTCAGACAGTAGAAAATTTCCTTGAGACAAGAAACTTATTTATTTCACCTTGAATTTCCTCTTTTTCTGGTCATACCACATCATTTTTCTGCCAAGTAAGTATGATTTGTGAATATAGTTTATTCAACTTATGTGCAGCAGAAATGATTTACTGTAATGAAGGAAAAATTTGTCTGTGAAGCCTTATGCAACTGGAAGCAGGAATTCAAAAGCCTGCCATTCTTGTAAGGCAAGGGAAAGGGAAGTGATAGGGAATTCTGCATGCAGATCATCTAAAGAGATTGGAGAATGAGGAAGGAACAGGGATTGAGAATACCTTGGTTGTAATAAGAAAACCAAGTAACTAAAGTCATTATTCCTTTCACTGATTAATTCATACTGTTGTCTTGATTTTCATAGAGCAGTTGCTTCATTCTTTTAAAGATAGCATTAAAAAATGTATGCTCAAATATATACCAATTGTGTAATACCCAAAAGATGCAAATAGGGAAATAGAAAGAAAAATACATGTCAAACCAACCATTCCTAGTATTTGTACCCTACCCTTCTACAAATTCAGGTGAATTTGTATTTGTAACAAGAAATTATGTTTTTAATAATCCATTTCTTTAATACATTTCTTTCATTATTAAAACCTTTTTCT